AGCTTACACTAGCCAGCTACTCCCATGACCGGCCAAGTTGGATCCATAGCTGCTTTCTCCTTGGATAATTCCCAACTGAAGACAACCCTCCGTTCTGGGCTTGCATTATAGTAGTTGCTTTGACCTCTACAGCATCGCCAACACCACTCGGTTTCTCCTCGCCAACGCCGGATACCGTGGGACGAACCTTCCCCTAAAGGACCAGCTGCGCCGAGATGGCCTAAAATACCGACAAGAGTGATATTGAGCCCGAAATTGAGCCTTTCGGAATGCCATTTGCCTAGTGAGGACAGTAGTAACGCACAGCGTGGTCGATGCTGCTGGTGTACCATCATCCAGGGTTATCTATGCTATTGCTGTACGTGCAGGATGCGTCGGGAAAGATGGTTGCTGACCAGGAGTATGTAAAGCGCAGCTAGGGGTGCCAGACTTTATTTTTTTGAAGGTGATGCAACAGATTAACAGCAATAGTGTAACTATTTGTACAGGCCCTGGACATTTGCTGAAATGAGGATGGCATACCCCTTCGACCATCGAAAAAGCCCCCCTTCGAGGCGCACAGAGACTGGCTTCCTGAGAGCTATAAACCCACATCACATCGCTCCGTGACGGATCATTTCAAAATGGACCAACTTGGCTGCCTTTTCTTACAAAATGTATGCTAACATCTCATATGCGCTTCTGTCGGCGGCGCTCATCGTGTTAAGTGTGGTGCATCTCATCTTGCTTACCATTCACCGCCCTCAGTCTCACTGTTTGCCTGAGATATCAATCTTCGTTCTCTTTATCTGCGTCAATGCTGTTGTCATTGGCATTGGTCTATCAGGCTTAAGGCGCGGGGGTGAGTAGTCCCTTCTACCGAGATGGTGATGATAAATGCTAAATGCTTGTTTCAGATACGCCAGCATTCTACTATCCCTTGGGAATATGCACAGCCTTTCCGCTAGCCCTTGAGGTATGTTATTCCCAGTCTCCTGCTTTGGTCCTCGCTAACCGCGATGTCTAGATGATTCGGCTGAGCAAAATCCAGAGCGGACCACTTACGAACGCCCTGCTGCATCGATTATTTCTAGGATATGGTTTTCTGTCCCCGGCGGTAAAGCTCGGGTTGATCTTATGGTCTGCTCTTCTCCCTGATCTTGATAGGCCTTGTGCTCATTGAGTTAGCTCGGTCGCCTACGAGGCGTCGGTGAAAGGTACAGCTGTGGTCGTGTCTATCGACTACATGGTACTTGCGATTGCCGGTCTGCTTTTTTGGCGCGGAATTCGCGGTATACCATCTCAGGGGCCTGTAATACGTGAAGTTACAATCCATGCACTTCTTGTTCTCGTAACAGCAGGGTTTGCCGCAGGCGGACTCTTCCACGACTGGGCCCTTTCGATCCAAGTAAGTTCAGTGAAAGTACGGTTCTCTCTCCAACGTGTGCTGATATGGCTCCAGGTGATGTTGATTACCACTATTGGTGCCTATATGGCTCGAAATATTTCCGCTCGGCCTGGGGAACGGGAACTGGGGAATGCCGTGCCGTTACATGGCTTCCCAGACAACACATCCGATATTTCCTGTTTCTGATTGAATTGGAATGTGACTGCCTGTGGATACAGTCGGTGTAGCAAGGCCCCATGCTCTTCTAAATTTACTTGCTTCTAATTGCTTGAACGTTGAATAGTTTTAGCTATTTCCATTTAATACCATAACCATATTAATTGACTTAACTTCCAGGTATTAAAGCTAATCCGGACTATCTATGCCATTGCAGTATGTGTGGGATGCCTCGAAAAACACCAGGAGTATGCAAAGTGCAGCCAGGGATGTCAGGCTGTGTCGAGGGGCGTCCTGGGAGCACGAGTGCGATATACAAACCCAGCTTGAGTCCGTGCCATTCTCACCACCTTGATGCCAAACTTTGCACCTCAATGCTTTTGACTATAAGAGATGCCTCACCGCTTGCTCGTTGCCTTGTTCGAATACAGGCTGCTCATCCACGTTGGTTCGCACTTGGATTATTGCTAGACATTCAAGGAGAAAATTTGCTCCCGTCGTTGCATGCGAAGGGCGTGCTTACTATCATCGCAACGGCCCAAACGGAAAATTTTCGGTAGAAGTCACAGTTTTGAGATCATGCCAACGGTACATGTCCTCCCCCATTTGTGATAGCCTCGCTAACAGAACCAGGCTTCGGCCCCTGTTCTCCAACTTCAAAAGCGTGGAGACAGCTACTTTGTCAGTGCAGGCACTGGGAAGTTACCCCCGGCCTCACTATCCGATCTTATGAGCTCGTGGGCGGGGGTTGCCCATGGCGTTGGAGGCGGGTTATATCAGGGATATGCGATTCAGCCGGTCGTGCCCATTGAGTAATAGCCACCTGCATATCACTGGTGAAAAGACTTCTTTTCCTTGCACTGTTACACTCTCTTTTTCTGAGTCACATTCCCAAACCATAAGTATCCCATCCGAAGTTCTGAATACGTGGCCTGGGCGGATCTTACGGTGGGAAAACACAAGAGTATCTTCAGGGGGGTGCACATGTGACTGGAAGATTGGTTCGGCTGTCATTATAAGCTTTGTGATTGGATTATGGACGGACTTGCGGAGGTACATACATGAATGCTGCGGGCGTTCTATATAATTTCTCAGGTTCCCATGTACAGCCCTCCATCTCTCAGTGTGTTTTTATTTGACTTTTTTCCTCCCTACGACCCTGGCCAACCTGTCATTGCATACTTCTCAAAAATATCATGGACCAGGCATCAAGCCTCGTTGGTTCTCTTTTGAATACCATATTCCCTGGATTCATATTTATTGACACATTCCACAGAGCTCCCAACCTGGGCCTTCTGTCCAATATCCTAATTATCGGATGTGCATTTGTTTATGTCTGTATCTGGGTATATGATGGAATCTGGAAATTCTGTGCCATTGAGGTACAAATTGAACCGCGCAGTGAGGAGCACGAACATCTAACCACCTTTCTTGAATCCTGGGTTACTGAGTGCCTGTCTCGGAGGGTTAGAAGTGAGGAATGGAGTGAAGAGGACGCGCCCGAAAAGACCGAGTGGGACTGGAAAACCATTGAAGCATTGCGGCATTATCAATTTCGACCCAACAAAACTTGTTTGTTCCTATTCAGAGGCTCAATATTTCAGTTTCAACAGACAGAAAGAAGCTTTGAGTTTCACTCTGAGAAGTGCTACAGCCTGCGAGTTTTAGGCTGGTCCTGCAAGCCAATTGAAAGATTGCTTGAAGAAGCCAGGTCACGTCACACCTCCAAGAACAAATCTCACATTACAATTTTCATCCCAGAAGGGGAGCGTGCCCGTCGGACTAAGATACCATGGCAGCCTGTCAAAACCATTAGCCGACGGTCACTTGAAAGCATCTCCCTGGCAGAGGGACAAAAGGAAGAAATTTGCAATGACATGTGCAAGTTCTTGAAGGCTCAGCGAGTGTATGCAAAAACGGAAAGACCATACCGCCGTGGTTACCTATTTAGTGGACCCCCTGGGACTGGGAAAACCAGCCTTGCGCAAGCTTTGGCAGGCCAATATGGTCTGGATATTTACATGTTGAGCTTGACAGGCCAAAACATGACTGATGAAGAACTCCAGTGGCTCTGTAGCCATCTACCGCGCTGTTGTGTCCTCCTCATTGAGGATATCAACAGTGCCAGAATCAACTGTGAGAAAATGCAAGCCATACAGAAGGACGGCGCGAGGCAAAACAACCAAGTATCACTCTCCGGCCTCTTGAACACAATCAATGGCGTCTCATCATCCGACAGGAGAATTTTGGTCATGACCACAAACTGCCAAGATGAACTTGATGCGGCCCTTATCCACCCGGGACGCGTGGACATGAAAGTGGAATTTACACTGGCATCAAAGGAGCAAATAAAATCGATTTTCCAGCATATGTACGCCCACGAAGGCCATACCAATCTTGCAGATATGGCTGCTGAGTTCGCCCATCAAGTTCCCCATTGCCAGTATAGCCCAGCGGATATCCAGAACTATCTATGGAAACATAGTGATCCTAAGTTTGCTGTTATGGAAGCTCAGAAGCAATTCCCTACGACAGAGTGAACTTTTGCATCATTTCCTGCGCGATATTCATTGGTGGTTGGTGGCTTGCTTAGCTAGGAAATGGAACCTGGAGGATGCCACATAGCATCTGTAGTGAGAAATGATTGGGATGGGCAAACAGTTTAAATTTCATATGTATATGATATATTGATGCACAGAGATAATCCTGTGGCAGACTACTCGGTCGTTGCTTGGCGGAAATGCTACTGGTGCAGGTCCCGTACGTAAGCCAGTTGATGGGCATGCAAATATTGGTTTAAGTTGGCGAAGAGCCATACATCAACGGGAAGCGTGGAGGGCGTACTGTGCAAAACATCATCAGCGCTCTAGAAGCAGGCCATTATTTCCAATCTGTTGATGCTGGGCCGAGATGACGACGACGGCCCAGACCGAAATACGGGGGAAAAGGCATACCGAAGTTCGCCAAAATCCGAGATTCCAATAAATTGTTTCAATATATTTTTACGGTTTTTACAGGAAGTTTACCAAACTCTGATATTCCTCTTGGAAGCTGTTTATCGAATCTACTTGAAAACCAGGCAATGGTATAAGAATGGTTAATCGTCCCAACTTCCTCTACTTACTATCTCCTTACGCTCTCTTGTGCCCTTTATCAAGCCACAGATATCTTGTGCACCTTCCCAAGAGAATGTCAGGTTAGTCTACCCAGAGTGTTTTTAACTTAGAGCCCTGCTGATTTTTTTTCATCTAGATCAATCCTCACTACAACCGCCACCGCCGGGGAACCCGCGCAAGCGGAGAAGCGCGGACAACCTTTCTAGTCAGACGAAAAAGATCTTGCCAACTCCGCCGAAGGGCGCATCTCTGTCAGATGCCGTGCACGCAGCACCCACCCAGGGGGGTTCCACTCGCGAAGATATCCCCACCGACAACATCATCAGCGTCGACAATATGGCCAAGACGGCAGTAGATACTGCGTGGATTTTTGAGCCTTCTTTATGTTTTACCCACGACGCAACCATTGCCGCATTGGAGTCTATTGTACGTTGCTGGGCTCCCACCAGCGGTTTGATCCCGACGGAAGATCTAGAGCGCTGGTACAAGGGGCTCTCAGCCGATGAAATAACAGCACTTGCTATCCTCGCGTGGCATTTTGGCACGGATGAAGTCGGACTCGGCGAACTCTGCTCATTCATATCTTCTCTTCCGGATGATGCTGATGGGCTCGAAAACATTTGGGCCAGGAACAGATTTCGTCAGGGCTGGAATTTCAAGACTTCTGCAGAATTCGAGTCTATGCTTCACACCGTGAAGGTATGTGTAGGCCAAGTACGCGATGAATAACTAGCTAATCGAAGACAAGGAAAATATCAAACAACAGGCTTTTCAGCATCCTGCTTTCGCTGAGATTGCGGCACAAAGCCACGGAGTTCAGAAAGTGGTTGAGTCGGATTTACAAAAATGGCTGGATGATTTTCATATGTTGTAAGAGGGAGAAGCCAGCCAATCGGGAGATGTAAATAATCCGTGCTCCAAAATACCAAAACAATTCCCAAGCTATTCGGAATGGAAACACCCTGTTCAGAATAAGGTTCTTGCTTAAACTGGTGATATTTGTAAGAAAGTGCAATTGCGCCAGGCGCGGAGCTGAAACTCAGTTCGCAGCTGGGGTTTTCATCAGCAGCTCCAATGAGTGAGGTAAAATAGTAGAAAGATTGACGGATCTTCTCGTCCGGGGGGAGAGGCAAAATTAGCGCGCGTCTTTCTCCCACCGCTTTTAATTGGTGCGTAACTGCCACTTCCGAACTTGTGATTGGCTAAGAAGGCGGCGAGGAAAACGACACTAATTGTGCCTCACCCAAAACAAGGGTCCCATCGTCTGCAGCAATTTTTTTCGGTGTGCCTCTGCCAGGATCCATGCACAGTATTGGCCCAAACGCCTCATTGCTGACCAGGAAAGTGGGCTGCTAAAAATGAGACTCATCCCATTTGCATCTTTTAGTTAATCATCTAATTGCGAGGCTCCGAGCAGCTATAAGAATAGCCATGTTCGCCCACACTCATGTAGCAAAATACAACTCGTTATCCACGGGAGCCTCGCAGGACCACGAAGAAGAGTACCAAGACTTTCGCAAGAGCATATCATCAGCTTCAAATTGTCTTTCCATCATGGTAAGTTAGCACTTCTGTAAGTTTATTGGTTCTTAATGCTTATCTTATTCAGGAATCTCTCGATACCGTTGCTCAAGCGAGACGGGATATTGAACAAAATATTGCCCACATGGATGATCTCTATAGCGCGTTACTCCAAATGAGACAGGATATTGAAGAAAATATTGGCACCCTGGAGGAACCTCTTCAGCACCTTAGCAACGCCAAGACAACTGGTGACATACAAAAATATCTTCAAGAATTTTCCATCGAATTCCACAAGCTTTTTTTGTTGTTTGAAAAGCTGGCCGGTTTTACGTCGTGCGCTTTGAGTATAGGTATAGAAACAGGGGAATTGGGTAGGATCAGATGGCATATAACCTCTCTCTGGGAAGATTACGGACTTATACAGCAGATCATGTACACTTGCTCATTATGTCGTCACTCGCAAGAACCTAGGCTTCGTCAACGGGTAGAGTACCTTCTGGAACAGATGGGTGATTTACAAGTTGTTTGTGAAGAACGCAGCAAACACCTGAAGCAAGACCTGTTCCATAGTGCATATTAATATGTTTTATCAATAAAAATCTCAACTCATCCAAAACGATCCCAATCTCCAAGCAACACACCCAGAGCGATTAGGCCGTTGCTTGGTGGAGATGCTGCTGGATAATGTAAATGGTGGCATACCGTACATCAGCAAATGCCGCCAGCCCTCCTGTACCTTCGTGGCTTGTTGGGTATGGATGGCCATGCACATATTGATCCCCAGTTGGGTTGGGCAAAGCGAAGATCCGAACCATTTGTTCATGGTCTCTGTGCTAACAAATTCCAGGGGCTCAATCCGAGGCGGTCAAGGTAAGGCTGGCTTGCACTCAGGACCTTGTTGTGTCTCTTGCTAGATTCCATAAAGAGAGGTCTTGCACCCACCCTTCTCCCATCTTGTTCTCTACATACGTCGGAAACGATAGCCGGCATGGGATCACAGAACCCCAATCTCAACCATCTCCTTGGCCCCCGTTCCAAAAGAGTTTTTAGCTGCTTTCTAATTTTTACCCTTCCTTTTATCGTGCTTGGCGTTGTCTTCTGGGTTACCCTCTGGATGGTCGCAAAAGTCGCAGTGTGGTTGCCTGCCCAGTTGGTCAAAATATTTCCTCAGCCACAAAGAGCGAAGACAAAACGGGATTGAACAAGAGCTGTTATTATCCAAGTCCTCGAAGAAGTGAAAGCCCAGGGATCACGACAGATGCCCGAAGAAACCAAAATGGCTCAGGAGGTACCGCCAGTCGTGGTTGATGGTTCTGAACCGAGACTGGCTGCATGGCGAACGAGAGAGGCGCCCAAAAATGACGCCGGCCAGATATACTGTGATCACCCGGATTGCCACGATCATATCTTCAAGCGACGCAGTGAGTGGACGTATGTGCCACCCTTTTTGACTATAGTTCCTATTTCTTGAACTGTGTGCTAAGTACCTCAACAGCAAACACATGGATAAACATGACCGCCCATACAAGTGCACGAACCCAGGTTGCAACCAACAATTTACCCAGGCAGCTAGCTTGCGCCGTCATCTAATAACGATTCATCAAGTGAACAGCAAATGGAGGTGGATGTGTTCTTATTCAGACTGTGATCGCAGCTTAAGCAGAAAGGCAGATCTCAAAATCCACATCCACCCCTTTCATTGGTAACCAGATAGCATCGAATCTCT